TTACTCCAGCACCTAGGAGGCCCTGTCATCAATCAGAAGCCACTGTACTAAGCAGTATATGAACACAGAAAAAAAGAAAAAAGATAGCCCCTGCCACTAGAAACAAAAGTCATGAGATGCGTACAACATACCACCATGAAATCTCAGTCAGTCTTGGCAAGACAGCAGTATCACCACTGTCAGTTTTTCTGCTGGCATCAAGATAAAGGACACCGCTGAAGAGTCAAAGGAAAATAGGAGGTAACTGAAGCAGGCTGTGTGGAATTATTTCAGTATAGAAATAATTTTTCTTTCTACTTGCTACAGCTGAGTCTGCTAAGTGTACTGCTTGTGGCAGACATAAGCTTCCCATTGAAACTGATTTGCATGATCCCACCTACTGCAGGTTTTACAGAATGACAGCTGTAATTTATTCCTACAGTGTCTAACAGTCATTTTCACTTAGTTTCTAACTCTCTTTTTGTCTTCAGCTCATCACTTCAATACTTGTATGAATTCAGTGAGTCCATGAATTTTATTGGGAATTTCCAGTGTTCAGTGGCCACTGTCTCCTTTAGAAAACCACGTGAAAATTCAGACCTTCCTGAAGTTTTCTTGAATGCCTGCTGCATGTGATTTTGGAATTCTATACAGCAACTATAGCTTTTCCGTATGGTATTGTCTTATGAAGCACCTAGAATCAACATTTAGCTAGGAGGGAACAGAAAAATAAGCAGAAAGAAGAATAATCAAATAATCTAATTTCTTTTCATGAAGAGTTTTGAGTCAAATATTGAATTTGTACTAAGCATGTACCTGAATCTCATCTTCTCCAATAGCACTGAATGACAGAAACTGGAAAGCTTCTACTTATTTCCTTCATTGGCCTGAATTCAAATCCTTTACTTTGTAAAATTTATGCCAATTCTAAAAAAAAATCCAAACAAATGTTGCAACAGTTTCTAGGCTGAAACTCAAGAACTGCTTTTTAAAATTAGATCTCCATGTATCAGAACTACGATAAAAATATAAACCTTCTGTGCATCATGTTTGTTTTTTGATTACTCCTTCCTTCCTGCTATGGGAATGTGTTCAATCTCATGTTTTGCACTCACAATACATTTGTTTAGTCTGCCACTTTTTTGTCTTTCTCCCTATCTTCTATTCAGTGTTCACACCAGACAGAGTCCAAATAAATCCTCATACTACATTTAAGTTTTATTTGCTACTGAGTTACAAATACTAAATAGTTTCTCTACTAAATAGATAAATATCCTTCCCATATCAGATCCAGGTAATGCGTGCGAGATGAGATATAAAGATCTTGTGTGGGAAAAATATATAGAATTACGTCCATTTAGCAAACCTGAGCCATTCTGCCCCCCCTCCATAGAGAAACTTGAGGAGGAAGGAAAATTCTCTAGGGAGTCCACCGTAGTACATGGGGTTTGCTCATCTGAAACTTTCACATTTTGTGAATGTGTGGAGGTCTGTGATTGATAAGAAGCACACTGCTCTAGAAAGTTAGACACTGTCTACTTAGCTCCTGTAAGAATGGTAATTGTACATCTGGTGTCCTGAAATGCCTTCTCAGCTGGAGAGAGGAACTTGGAAGAAATAGTGAGTCACACTACCAGCTTTTGATGTGAAAACCCTGCCAGCGAGTACTTGTGGAACATTGTTGTTCTCCCTCCGCCTGGACTCCGTAAAGTCCTGTCACCACAGAGCATTTGGAGTTCCAGCACTCCTTCCACTTTTGTGCACAGCACACCTCTGCCTGAAGTACTATGGTAGTGGTGAGATCCTGCACATCCTGAGGCCAGTGAGAGCATCCCAATGGATTTTACAAAGCTAAAACAAACCCCAGTCTGCACTGTTAACAAGCCAAGACACAAATCTGAAAAGATACCGAGATGAAAAAGAAAACTTTATCATATTGAAATATAAAGAGCCAGAGGTCGTGATTTGTTCAGTAGTTAAGCAATGCTAAATACCTCTAGCTTACCAGCGAAACCTGCTTTATAACTACAAATCTAAAGTATACTCTTCAGTACAAAAGTCTGTCCAATAGTGTAACACAGGTAGTAACCAGTTTTCATTCATTCTCAGTGAGCTCCGTTAAAAGTACCAGATTGTAAATTGCTGCTTTTGCCTTATTTTTTTAGTCACAGGAAGACACTTCTGTTTGAAGCTTAAATTAAGTACATTTGCTAGTAATTCTTTAGTGTGGTTGTACTTTCTTTGCTGTAATGTTTCCTTTTAAGTTTATGTATCTTTCTTTTCTATTGCATCAAGACTTAACCTACTGTCATATTTATAACAGCTTTATTTTTATATCCTTAAATGCCTTCTGTATTGCTTTTTATGATAGCTACAACTCTATTTTTGGGAGTCTTAACCGTTTCCAAAAAACACTATCACAATTTTTATTATGAAATAAAAAGGTGCTGCTTTCTGTATTCAGACCTCCTAGGTCCTAAGAAAGCATATAGCAGGTTATTATTATTTGCCATTTCAATAAAGGTAAGTTACACTATGTAATACTGGAAAGGAAGGAACCATAGCTTCTATAAAGCCATTAGCCAAATAGCAGTTAACTTTAAATTCTGGCATCCACGATGTCCGACTTCCCTTTTTCAGGATACTTATGGCTGGGAGAGCCCCACCTGGCAAATTCATGAATGAAAACCACTGAGCATATGATTACATGAATGCAATTAGTTTTGGCAAAAGAAACTTTTAAGAGCAAAAGAAGCTTTATCAGCAATGAACACATTTAACTGACCATTACTACCTCAGACATTACACTCAAATTACAAAGCATCATGAAAAAAATTTTTTCTGAAACTGCATTTATAAAGTAGAAAGGCATAGAAAGACTTGTCCTTCATAAAGGACATATAAACATGATTTAATACTGACGTAGCCTCAGTAGAATCTTTAAGTTGAACAGGCAATACTACAAGGCATCCTATAAATTATTCCATTGACCCTCTAAAGCATGGATAGCTTGTAATTATTACTTGAAGCAGGGTAACATACTTCAACAAAAGAAATTTAAAAAAAAAAATCAGAAAAAAAGAACAGAAAAGCTCATGAGATTTCTGATTCATCAGAAAGATCTCATCAGCTGTCATGAGGAAATATTATTTAACTCCATTTGGCATAGAAGAAGGGGAATCCATCCAGTGACCACTTGCCTACAGCTAAGAGAAAATCAGCTATTGCTGGATCTAAACTGGTGAAAAATATTCTCCAGGTACCTGGACAGCAGATAAATTATCACCCTCAAAGTTGACTCAAAGGATGAAAATTAAAGCAGAGTAGAACTCCCAGTTAT